GATCATAGCACAGCGAACGCTCACGGTCAAATGCGCTGCTGGAATTTGCCAGAAGAATTCCAAGCGGGCTCTGCGACACGTCAGTTTAAGTTCCGAAGGACATGCAGGAGACACTGTCGCTCACGAGGCGATGCCGAAGACTTGACTCGCGTGCAAGCAAGTCAGCGTCGATAGGAAACAAAACGGGCGAAGCGCGCTCACAAAACGACACTGCAGCCACTAGCAGTGTCAAGACAGCACCCTGAGAGAGACGGAAGTTGTGCGTCATCCATGGTGAAAGAAGCAGGTACGAACCAGAATAATCAAGGCGAGATATCGCCTCCGGTTGACTGGAAGAGCATGGATCAGCGCGAGACGTGGGCAGATTTCGAGGCTCACATTTCCAGATCCTGTAGAAGTATCCACTGCGGTGCGGTGCTCGTGTGAGCATTTGACACTGCACAGCCGAGGGTACTTACAACCGGACCATGGCGCTGCTGATGTCCTGCGAGAGAGAAGGGCGAGTATGTGAGAGGTTGGCGAGGGCATTATCGAGCAACAGCGATCACTCACCAACGCCATGGTATGTACCTGCAGGGTCAACGACATATGTGAGCACGGACGCGACAGGGATTCACGGAGGGACACACCGCATAAACCTTCGTGGAGCCGAAGACGGCGGCGAGGTTACCCCTTCCGAGTATGAGGTATCTGACCAGGAGATATGAAGAGAGCACGGCTTGCACGGTGCCCAACAACCTGGTACGCGAAAAGCGGCATAAGACTTCCCGCGGCGGCTCTGCGGCCTGCAGAAGTACAGGCTCACCATAACGCCACGACCTATAAACGCCTGTCCAACCTGACTATATGCGCACAAGAACGAACGAAGACTCACGTAGTAGACCATCCACTTCCTCAGGCTCAACCCGTCGAGCCTCCGAAAGTACCAGAACAGCTGGCCGGTCGTCGCGCCATAGAGCCTGTCGTCGTGTGTCGCGCGTCAGCAGCGAGAAGTCGCGAGAAACACGTGGCGACGCACGCGAGCGAGACGCCGAGTCCGACGAGCTCGGCGCCGATCGTTAAGTCGAGGGAAGAGGGCGTCGGCAGCGAGGGCGGGTCGGACATTCGACAGGGTGCTGGGGGCGTCGCGGCGAGCGATCCTCATCCGTCCGCGACCGGCGGAGAGTGGGGGCGGGGGCTCGGTGCGCGTCGGTGCGCGTCGGGCCACGGCGAGATTGGATGTGGAGGGCGACGGGGAGGTGAGAGGTCACTGCGCTAGTTCCAGAAAGCCTCTGACGGAGAACGAGAGAACGGCTGCGCGAAGAACGGTTGCGTCGAGCGGAGTGGACGGAGGAGCGCAGAGAGGGAAATCGGAGGCCAAGAGAGGTTGAGGCCCTACTTATGGGCGCGACAACAGGGACGATGGTGATATTTAATGGGAACGACATCCGAATTCCGTGCGCCGTCCATGGACAACGGCCTGTCCATGTCAGCAACAATCCAATAGCCGAAAAACGCCAGCTGAGGCGCTCGTCCTCCCTCTCCCGACGATGTGCCGAATATGGGAATGTAGACGCCCATCAAGGAATGAACTCCGAAATCCTTCCACCACCTATGGAAAACCATGCGCGGATTAAGTATAGATATCGAGGGACTAAATGTAGCAACGCGCGGTTAGATCGCAGCCCCTCATGCAGTGTGCGATGGTGCGTGCCCGTCGACTCTGGATGGCATTGAAATTGGACATCACGTATGACGGCCTGTTTTTCTGGTCCAAGTCCAGCCGTCGCGGTCGCTTACATACCGTTACGACCAGAGCTGCCTCAACTAGCGTAGGCGGCTGATATAACTTTCTGCCTCTAGCGTGGATCGTTACAGTTCTCTCCGCGAGCGCGTCTCGAACCATACTCCCGTCTCCCTAGATTTCCCATTCATCTGCTCCATCAAACCAAGCCACTGCACCTCTCCGTCTCGCCGCGCCACCCCCGTTCGCATTCCAATCGCCCTGCCACCCGCGGCCCCCTCGGCATCAAGCACCAGCTGCAACCAGCGTCGCGCTCTCGCTCATCAGACGTCCGTCCGTTCGTCGCGCCGACACTGTGCACCCGGGCAGCGCCGGCGTCGAGCGCACGCCGACCGACGGTCATCGACATCGACACAACAAATACCACCCGTCGTCCTCGACTCGGAGCACCCCCTCCGCGGCGTCGAAAACCACGGTTCCTGGCCGCACGCACGCGCGCATGCTCTCTGTCACCTCCAGCGAGCCCAACGCTGCGCACTTCTTGCGCCCGCGCTTCGACATGTACGTATCACAGACGCGCTGTAGCACGCCCTGCCAGCGACACCTACGCGCGTCGTCGCCTTCGACGTCGGTGCGATGCGCATCGGGCCGTCCGCGAGACGAGCACACGCGGGCGCAGCGACCGCGACGGTTTGCAGGCCCCGCCTGCGCGAGCTCTCTGCCGTGCGGGCGACACGGGCGGCGCTGACCATGATGCGCTTATGAACACTGCGCGTCGCGAGGCCCTCAGCGCCGCTCGTGTCCGTCCCTCTCGGAGGCTCGAGCGATACGCGCGGGGCTCCGAGCGATCCCTGCGGACGTCGGTTCCACTTACGATGATCATGTTTGACGAAGCGAAACCCGACGTACTTGACTTCCTTCAACTCCTCGAGTCCCCGTATGGAGTGAGGAAACTGGTAGTTGGCGTACAATCCAGCCGCTTCGTCAAGAGAAACGCCCTGCGCAGACGTTACGTGGTCAACGAAAGTAAGTCTGCGGCCCGAGACCCACCCATGGATTGATTGGAACGTGGCGTGGACAGGGCCAAAAGGAATACGACGACTCTAGTTTAACGTTTAACGTTGATCAGTCGTTCAAGGGCGTCAAGAACAACCTTGCGCGGCCAGAGCGCGCGTGCACTTTGGCGTCGAGGCTCGCGGGACGTTACTACGGTGCAAATACAGTGGATCCGCCCGTCGGGATCGTCCCAGCTTTCACCTCCTGCGAACCGAGTACCGCGGGCACTAGAAGAGCTAAGACGCCAGGACGGATCGTTATCCGTCCCAGCGTCAGCACACCACATATACTCAAGTGAGATGCTCGATCTATACAGATGGGGAGCCAGGACGTCGGCACGGGGGTGCAAAGGAACACCTCAGCGTGCACGCTGCACCCCATCGGTATGGATACGAGATGATAGATGTACGCGTAGCGCCTCCCTGGGTTCTGGCGTGCATCGTGGTCCGCCACTCATGCAGCGTGCACGCAGAGGGACGACGGAGATGCGGGCGAGTGAAGCGCGCACAGCGTGCGGTGCGCAGCGTGTTCGAGAGCTCTCCAGATTGGGCAGGCGGCTGAGAGAGAAGATGACCGAATGCATACGGAACGCAACGTGCCTCGTGCAGAGATCCCCTTCGAGAGATCGGGCGAGAAGCCACAACGGAGGTGGAAGTGGTGGGTGAACGGCCCGCATCGTGTGCTTTGTTGTCCTTCCCCCGGGCCACACGTTGTGTATGGCGCACGGACATTGGGGATCTGCGATTGTCACGTCGTCAGCGTGGGCTCACGCACGACGCATCGGCGCAGCAAAGGCGGCACCAGAGCACTTTGAGCCTGCACACAATGGACGACACGGGCACAGCGTAGGACAACGACGACGATGCCGCCCGCAGATTGCGGACTTGTTCGCCAAGCTGTCCGTCCCCCGTCGCCATCCATCCAACCTCCACTGTCCACCTATCAACGCGCCTTCATATCCCCTGCGCTGAGCGCACAATGGACGGCGATGCGTTCATCCAACACCACTGCACGCACCCGCCTATATGCATCCCCACCCTGCACCAGCATCCGTGACCGTTTCCAGGCTGTGCGCGCTGCACCTACGCCACACCGCGCGCCCGGTCTGTGTGGACATAGCCCCAGTCCAGTATCCAGATCTCCACGCATCGCCGCGGAGGAGAGAGACACACCTGAGGCCTGGTTCCCGGTTGAGGGTGCAGCGCGCGGCGACAGCGACAGTACTCGTGCAGGGGACGTACGGATGGGGAAGGTGGCGACGGTGGGGACCAGACCCGCTGGGGATGGGCGTCGGGAGGAAGAGGAGGCAGCCTCGTGAGGAGGGTGCGCGGAGCCCGTGCGCGCATTCCGGGCCGAACCGTGGGAGCTCCGCCTGGAGGCGGTGGGGAGTTCGACTCCGCCACTCGACAGAACCCGCGCTGGTTCCCGTTCTATAGACTACATACAGTCCTCTCCGTGAGCGCGTCTCGGGCCTTGCTCCGCTCTCTCCACGCTCCGATGAATCTCCATCTAACCAAGCTGCTGGTTCCGGGGCATCTCCCTTAGGGGAGACGCTGAACCGGTCTCTTTCATTCAACCTCCTCCTCCTCCTCCTCCTCCTCCTCCTCCTCTCCGTCGCGCCGGGCCCACTGCCACCGCCATTCGCAATCTACTCAATCGCCCTGCCACCGCGCGCGGCCTCCTCGGCGTCAAGCGCCCGCCGATCGAGGGCCATATGTACGCATCGGTATCGACACAACGAACGCCAGCCGTCGTCCTCGGCGCGGCACGCCGTCGAAGACCACCCCCCCCCCCCCCCCCGGCTCCCGGACACGCGCGCGCGCATGCGCTCCGAGTCTCCGCCGGCTCTTGCGCCCGCGCGTCGAAATACATACGTGCAGAGTCGCGGGGCCGGCGACGGCACGCGCGTCCCGTCCGCCTTCGGCGCAGCTGGTGTGGTGCGCGCGCGCACGCGTGCCTGCCGTAGGAGAAGGAGAAGGAGAAGGAGGAGCTGGGGGTGCTGAGCCTCGCACCGAGTCCCGACTGCGCGACACGGGCGGGGCGCGGCTGACGCGCGCACGTCGCGAGGCCCCGCGCGCTCAGCGCTCAGCGCCGCTCGTGCCGCTCGAGGTTCGAGCGAGGGCACGCACTGGGCTCGGAGCGTCAGACACCCCTGCGGACGTCCATGACACGGGGGAGCTGGAGAACAGGGTTTGGAGTCGCGTGTTCTTGAGGAGAAAAATTAGAGGCTGTGACTGTAGGCCGTGTGCGAGGCTAGGCGGTATAGAGGTGGGGGTAACCGACGGCTCAGGATCGTCGTGTAAGGGGGTGAGGGCGCGGGGTAGAGGTCGAGGTCGAGTTCGAGGGATTGAGGAGAGCGGTGAGTTCTGGTGAGGAAGGGAAGACTAACGGGCACCAGAAGTGCTGTATACAAGGCGTGGAAAGAGCCAGGCTCAGAGATTCGAGCGGGGGATGCGTCAGTGTAGATGTGACGTGTGAGAGCTGATGCGACGACAGCGAGAGACTCGAGAGCAGAGATGCACAGGGTACGAGCTCGGCAGAGACGCGAGGTCGCAGCCGTCCAGAGAGCGATCCATCATCTAGTCAGTCCATTGCTCTACATGGGAAAATCCGACTGTGCCGCACCATCAGCGTGCATCCGAGGAGGCACAGACGCGGAAACTCACATTTCTTATCCGGTCAAGACCCCGCTCCCCCCAACAGTAGGTCTCCCATCCACAAACCCCACCCCGCCCAGCCCCACCCCCTTCCCCTTCCCCGCGCTCACCTCAGAATCCATCGCACTTCCCGTCCGCCCATACACATATCCGTGGAACCCTGGCCCTGCCGGCCCCGCCGGGCCTCCGAGCCGGCTCGCCCCTTCCCAATCTAACTCGCCCTCCTCCGTGACGCCACCCATCGACGGCGGCAGCGTGCCCGGGAAGGAGCCGACGTCGACCCTCGTCGTGAGCAGGATCGTCTCGCCCGCGGTGCCGCGCGCGAGCTGGGCGTGGTTCAGCGAGCGGTGCACGAGCTCCTTCTCGGTGTTGAGCACGGCGAGGAACGAGCAGATCTCCACTGCGCGCGGATGCGGATGCGAGGTAAGCAGGCGCATAAGAAGGACAAGAAGAAGAAGAGCGACACGCACGTTGGCAGAAGACCCAGACCGTGGCGACGAACACATAGCTTGCTGGAAGCACGCTGAACTGCTCGCGGGGGGTTAGCGGCTACTGCTGCCGGGCTGTACGGACTCGCTCGGAGAGGGAGGCTTACGATGATCATACTACAGGTCGAGAGGATGCTATGTGCGCCAACGGTCAGCGTCGAGACCGCGCGGAGAGAATGCGTGAGACGGCACGCACACGTTGAGCGAGCCTGTGCTGAGTGCAAACACCACGATGGTCCGGATCAACAGGTCCAATCTGAGGCGCGTGTTGAGCATCTACGAGACGAGCAAGACACGCCGCGCGGACCGTTTGATCCCGGTGTAGAACCGCAGGAAGGACACGAAGACGGCGAAGGAGATCATCATGTCGATAACAATCTGCACACCGGACGCGAGGAAGAACGTCCACTGTCGAGTTGTTCAAACTCTGTCAGACGAGCGGCAGGATGAGATCACAGCACGGCGAACGCTCACGGTCAAATGCGCTCCTGGAATTTGCCAGAAGAAGTCCAAGCGGGCCCTGCAACACGTCAGCTGACGTCCCGAAGGACGTGCGGGGGCCAGCTCACGAGCGGATGCTGAAGACTTGACTCGCGTACAAGCAAGTCAGCGCTGATGGGAAACCAATCGAGCGAAACACACTCACAAAGGGACACTGCAGTCACCAGCAGTGTCAAAACGGCACCCTGAAAAAAGCACTTGCATGTCATCCATAGTGAAAAAAACGCATGTACGAACCAGAATGATCAAGGCCAGATATCGTTTGCGGTTGACTGGAAAAGCATGGGTCAGCGCGAGACGTGGGCAGATCGCGAGGCTCACATTTCCAGATCCTGTAGAAGTATCCACTGCGGTTTGATGCTCGTCTGAGCATTTGACGTTGCACAACCAACCGAGGTTCATACTTACAACCGGACCATGCAGCTGCTGATGTCCTGCGACGGAGAAGGGCGAGTATGTCAGAAGCTGGCCTGGGCATTGTCGAGCAACAGCTATCACTCACCAACGCTATGGTATTTGCCTGCAAGGTCAACGACACATGTGAACACGGACACGGCAGGGGTTCACGGAGGGACCCACCGCGTAAGCCTTCGTGGAGCCGAAGATGGCGGCGAGGTTACCCCTTCCGACGACAACGTATCTGCCCAGGAGATATGAGGAGAGCACGGCTTGTACGGTGCCCAACAGCCTGGCATGGGGAAAGCGGCATGAGACTTCCTGCAGCAGCTCTACAGAAGTTCAAGCTCACCATAACGCCACGACCTATAAACGCCTGTCCAACCTGACTATATGCGCACAAGACCGAACAAAGACTCACGTAGTAGACCATCCACTTCCTCAGGCTCAACCCGTCGAGCCTCCGAAAGTACCAGAAGAGCTGGCCGGTCGTCGCGCCATAGAGCCTGTCGTCGCGTGTCAGGAGCGTGAAGTCGCGATCGAGAAACACGTGGCAACACACGCGAGCGAGACGCCGAGTCCGACGAGCTCGGCGCCGATCGTCAGGTCGAGGGAAGGGGGCGTCGGCAGTGAGAACGAGTCGGACATTCGACGGGGTGCTGGGGGCGTCGCGGCGAGCGATCCTCATCCGTCCGCGACCGGCGGAGAGTGGGGGCAGGGGCTCAGGCCTCAGGGCGCGTCGGTGCGCGTCGGGCCACGGCGAGATTGGATGCAGAGGGCGACAGCGAGGTTAGAGGTCGCCGAGCTAGTGCCAGACCGAGAGAGAGAGAACGGGTGTGCGGAGAACGTGGACGGGTCACGGAGGAACACAGAGGAAAATCGGAAGCCAAAGAAGTTGAGGCCCTAAGGGCGCCACAGGGACGACGGTGATATTTCATGGGAACGACATTCGTGCGCAGTCTGCAGGGGACGACGGCCTGTCAGTGTCAGCAACAATCCAACAGCCGAAAGACGCGCGCCATCCGAGTCGCTCGCACGACGGGCAACGGCCCAGCTTCGGAGCCCGAAAAGGCGTAGAAAAAGCTTGTCAAAGGCGTCTTTTCTGCAGCCTTTTGTGCGCGTGTGAAAAAGGCACTAAAATGGGCAATTTCTCCGTCTGATTTACGGGGTGCTGAAAACGATCGATAAAGAGACCTTTGGTACCCGTTCCAATAACGCGCGTTACTTATCATTTGTACTCACTTGTTTGTTACTCACATACTATACACGATCTATTGCCTTTACAATGAATCATATTGTCTTTGTTCTGAGCACTGTATTCTGTCGGGCCGAAAAATTCGCCTCAAACGTCACCTTTCAGGATATTCTATGACACACACAAACTTGACATAAAAGTTCGCCTTTCCCATCCTTTTTCTCCCCTGGAAAAATACATGCCGGAAATGACACCTGTGACAGGTTTTTTCTACGCGTTTTCGGGCTCCAAAGCTGGGCTGTTGCCCGTCGTGTCGTCATCCCTTCGCCGAATATGGTAATGTAGACGCTCATCAGGGAGTACCATTCCACCACCTATGAAAAACCCTGATACCATGCGCGGATTGAGTACAGATATCGAGGGAGCAACGCGCGGTCAGATCACGGTTATACGGTGTGCGATCGTGCGTGCCCGTCGACTCTGGATGGCATTGAAATCGGACATCATGACGGCCTGTATTTCCTGGTCCAAGTCGAGCCGTCGCGGTCGCTTACATACCGTTACGACCGAAGCTGTATCAAATAGCGTAGGCCGCGGCTGATATCTCTCTCTCTACCTCCGAGGACCCATTACGGTCCTCTCCGCGAGCGCGTCTCGGGCCTTCCTCCGCTCTCCCTCCATTCCGCTCTCACATTCACCTGCTCCATCAAACCAAGCTGCTGCGCCTCTCCGTCTCACCGTGCCACCCCCGTTCGCATTCTAATCGCCCTGCCACCCGCGGCCCCCTCGGCATCGAGCACCAGCTGCAACCGGTGCCGCGACATCGACACAACAAACGCCACCCGTCGTCCTCGGCTCGGCGCCGCTCCCTCCGCGTCGAAAACCACGTACGTTCTTGGCCACACGCGCGCGCACGCTCTAGATCCGTCGCCTCCGGCGCGCCCGACGCTGCGCACTTAGCATTCTTGCGCCCGCGCTTCGAAATACGTGCCACAGACGCGCCACACGCCCTGCAAGCGACACGTACGCGCGTCGTCGCCTTCGACGCCGGTGCGATGCGCATCGCGCCCCCACCGTCCTCCGTCCAGGTGGAGGCGCGATCGACGACTGCTGCTCATGACGAGACCCGCACACGTGGGCGCATCGATCTCGACGGTTTTCTCTCTCTCTCTCCGCCACGCGGGCGGCGCTGAGCGCCGACGCGCACTGCCCGTCGCGAGGCCCAGCCCGCTCAGCGCCGCTCGTGTCCGTCCCTCTCGGAGGCTCGAGCAATAAGCGGTGGGCTCCGAGCCATCCCTGCGCACATCGGTTCCACTTAAGTACGACTCGAGTCGTGTTTGACGAGGCGAAACTCGACGTACTTGAACTCCTCGAGCCCCCATATGGATTGACGGCGCCGGATATATCGCCTGTGACGTCCGAGTGAGGCAAGGCAAGACGCGATGAACCCTCTCCCGCCAGCCATCGGAGCAACGAGCCATCGAGGCTCCCGGGACGGTTCTAGCAGTGGTACTATACAGATGGGGAGCCAAGATATCGGCATGGGGGTGCAAAGGAATCAGCGTGCACGCCGCACCCCATCAGTATAGAGATGAGGAGATTTCTATACGCGTGCGTTCTGCGGTGCATCATGGCCCGCCACCCATGCAGCTTGCACGGAGAGGGACGACGAAGATGTTAAGGCGAGTGAAGCGTGCACAGCGTGGGGGGCGCAGCGTGTTCGAGAGGTCTCCGGATTGGGCAGGCGGCTGAGAGAGAAATGCATACAGAACGCAACGTGCCTCGTTTAGAGATCTACTTCGAGAGATCGGGCGAGAAGCCACGACGGAGGTGGAAGTGGAGGGTGGACGGCCCGCATCGTGTGCTCTGTTGTCCCTCCCTCGGGCCGCGTGGTGTGTATGGCGCACGGAAATTGGTGATCTGCGATCGTCAAACCGTAAGCGTGGGCTCATGCACGCAGCACAGACGGCACCAGAGCACTGTGAGCCATACCTGCACGCAGTGGACGACGCGGGTACAGCTCAGGACAACGACGGCGCCGCCCGCAGCTTGCGAACTAGCTCGCCACATCTTTCGTACTCCGTCGCCATCCATCCAGACTCCCAGCACTTGCCCACTGTCCACCCATCAACGGGCCTTCATCTCAGCGCACAATAGACGGTGATGTGTTCATCCAACGCCACCGCCAGCACCAACACGCACCCGCCTATACGCGTCCACGTCCTGCGCCAGCATCCATGACCGCCTCCACGCTGCGTGCCGCACCCACACCGCCGGCCCTTGTGGGTATGACCCCAGTCCAGTATCCACGCATGGGCCACAGAGCGCTCAGGGAAGAGACACACCGACTCACGGTTGCGGGTGCAGAGCGGGGGAGCGGGCAGAGCAAGCACTCGAGCAGAGGGCACACGGATGGGGAAGGTGGCGGCGGTGGGACAGAAGATGGGTGTCAGGAAGAAGAGCATGCGCGGAGCAGAGCGGGTCCGTGCGCGCGCTCCGAGCCGTGGGCGCTCCACTTGGGGGTTCGACTCTAGTGTGAAGTGTAGAACCTTTGGTTGTTAACAGGAAGTAGTTCACACGGTTTATAACCGGTTATAAACAGGTTATAAACTTGCCTGTTAAGAAGGGGTCCAAGGCCGTCCTGTGTAGAACCTCGGCACCCTGTTAAGAACCCATCGGGTGGGTTGGTTCAGTGAATATCATATGTGTGAAATGCGACAGAATTATTCTGCACGTTCCAACGCTTCTCAGCCGAAGGGGATCCCGGTAGGCCCAGAGGCACAGTCCATAGTGTTTTGCGGCTCAGGAGGGTTAAGCGCCCTTGCGCTTATCCGCTGTTGCTCTGTGCGAGGTGAGGGACAGATCTGGAAAGAATTAAGGTAATAACCTAAACATATGCAGCACGCACAGCACGAGTAATTATCTGCGAAAACCGAAGTCGAGCAACGAGAGCATACAAAGCCGAGCCAGAATACGAAGTAGGGACACAAGAAATGCGGCTAGGTGGAAGGGCTTAGAGGCTCGAGCGAGTGTAATACTTAAGCAGAAACAGACCGAGGCAGAAAGAGCCAAAACAGGGGCCGGTACATGGGTAGTGGAGACAGGGATAGGAAATATAAGGAAAATAGAACGAAAGATAATACGAGGACGCTCCTTCTTCTACTACCGCCACCATCTGGTACTTTCCCACGCCTCGCTGCCACTGGAGCGGACAGCGGTCGTGTGGAACTCTCTATCTCTAGCTTTATTATCTACTCTTCTGGCCTACTAGTAAACCCCTAGACAACATGCCCGCAGCCAAGAAGGCGGGTGTGACTGGGGGAGCCCCCGGGCCAACGACGCGCACCGGGTCGGGCGCCCTTAGCCGCCCGAGACGGACGTACCTGTTGAGCGACATCGAGACGTTGACCGAGCCCAACTTGCTAGAAGCTATCAAGGGCATAATACCAAGTGCGGAGGCAGCGCATGCCGCCCTTGCCCCCTACCAACTCGAATGGGACGACGACGTTCCGCCCTCTCAAGAGCAAGTCACCCGAGCCCTCGCCATGGTCGCTCTCGTGCCACCGAAGCCATCGGAACACGTCAAGGTGGTCGCGGCCTTGTTCTACTTCTCCAAAGCAGCGCAGGAGGAAACGGTGAGCTCTGTCATTGCGAATCGTATCTTGAAGAAGGTCGGGAAGGGGATGGAGGAGTTACGTGCATCCTCAGTGGAGGCATGCAAGGCGGCGGCGTCCTCCATGGAGGCGACGCTGCAAATGATGAAGGAGAAGGTCGAATCTGGGGGTGGCTTAGGAGGGGCCGGAACGCAGGGGGAGCTCGCGCCGGCATTGGAGGCTCTATCGGACCCGTCCTTTGCGCTGGTCATCAAGCAGGCCGCTGCGCAGGCGACGACGCGTAGCGCGCCACCGCTGGAATTACGGCGGACGCTGGACAGGGCTGCGCGCAGAGAGAAAGAGGTGTGGGTCGACGGGGTTCTGTGCAAGGACCAACAGGGGACAAGAATAACGGAGCAGGTGCTTGTAGAGAAGGCCAAGCTCGCGGTGGCAGAGGCGATACGCAAAGCCGGGGCAGAGGCTCTCCCCCCGGGCTGCTCATCTCCCAGGGTCGTGGCAGCAGCATACCTGCATAAAGGCGGGGTCTCGTTTGAGTTCGAAACTGCAGAACAGGCTCGTTGGATGGAGGACGGCACAGTCTAAGGCTGTTTGAGGGTCCGGCTCACTTCGCGGGTAAACCCGCGATGATCCGGAGCCGTGAGCCGGGGATCATGAGCCGAACGGCTCCAGCTCTTTGCGGCTCCGGCTCCCAGCGGCTCCGGATCAAGGGGACCAAAATATTGCGGGTCTGAGGCTCGATCCACGGATTATCCGCAGAATCTTGAGTGATAGCTCATATATGTGCATATCTACTACAAACGCTATACAAATCGAAAGCTATTTGAATCTTCCTTCTAACG